TGGTGGTAGTAGTAGTTGTTGTAGTAGTAGTAGTAGTAGCAGCAGCAGCAGCAGCAGGCGTCGTGGTAGTAGCAGTAGTCGTCGTCGTCGTCGTCGAAATCGTAACACGAATCGTAATTTTGATAGGAAGAGTACTAGTCTGATCCTTGCACTGCTGAGGCCGTGCGGCTTAGTATTTGCAAGCCACTGCTGACCAGCCCAGAGGAGGCAGCCCGTGATCGCGGTGCGATACTGAGCGAACGGTAGGGTTCCTTAAGAGGTTCTCTAAGGGCTACGAGAAGGATCATACTATAATAGGGGTTGCCATAAGGACTGCTATAAGGTCGACGGCTCCCGTGAAGTTTTGGAATTGATAGGGGCCTACAACTGTAGGACTTCGGGTTTGAAGCCTGCAAAAACCGTAGAGAGCCTGTAGTCCCCTGACAAAACGCAGAGAAATCCAAGACCACACCTCCTCTGGCACAAACAGAAACTTTGTGAGGGCTTCTGGCTCTGCGCAGCAGTGCTGAAAAAAACCTGATGTGTCCGGTGGTACCCGTACTACAAGACCGGCAACTTGGCTTCACATCCCCACTCATCCGCTGCACGAACCCACTTCGAAATCAAGTCTCCCTGTGACAGCGTGCAAGACAATGTTGAAATATACCGCAGGCGAACACCGGTGATTGAGCTTGCTCGTCTGGGCCCCGCGCCAGGCGTAGTATGAGGTAGGCCTTGGTTCTTGGAAGCTTCAATTCGGGTATCCTAGCTATTACCCATAGCCTCCACAGTAGTTCCTTTTGGGGTTACCTTATAGTAACCACAAAAAGGAACTACTTTGGAGCCTATGGCCTATATGGGTATCTACAAAATAACTTCCTGCATTTAAGCCCTGAGCCCTTAGAACTCTTGTCACCCTAAACCCTAAACCCTAAACCCCCTCAACCTGAAAGCCTAAAACCCTGCGGCTTGGTATGGCTCTAACCCTACAGCTCAGTCTCGGAGCCCTGACCGTAAAAAGCGGCCGGGGGTTTAGGGTTTAGGGGGTTTAGGGATTTAGCGTTTAGGGGTTCGGGGGCCATTTCCCTAGGATTCATTAGCGAAGAACCCTAAGGAACAGTTTTGGTAATCCAAATTTTTCCTAGGAGTATCATAACAATGAGCCCCAAGGAAGGCCCTGAGCCCCAATAGCCACAGTTGCCCTCTTGAGCCTAAGCCCTGAAGGAAGGACTACTATCTACCCCAAATTACCTACCCTTTCTGGGGTTCCGTAGTATGATTTCTTGACGTGAGCCTTTGAAAAGGTAGGTTATGTGGGGTTCAGGTCGTCGAGGCATCCCGGGAACTTACAGTCTTTACTTCAGCATGGCACCATATCCGGGCCCAACTCTCGGGCTGCATGTGGATTCCTAAACCCGAAACTCTAAACCCCTAAACCCTAAACCCTAAGCCTAAACCCCAAAACACTAAACCCTAAACCCCTAAATTTATGCGGACTGTATTTCTGGTGTAGAGATGGGTCAATGGATTCCTGGGGCGGTCTGGGCTTTCAGCTTGGAATTTGCTTTTTCCCCCTCGCCTGGAAAACGTCTCAGCGCCTGAGGATTAGAGGCCCAGGGCGTATGGGTGATTTGCGGCTTTCCTTCAGGTTTTATACTCAAAGGCTTGAGTATCCTTATCCGATAAGACCAGGCACTTCGCATGAATCTCAGGACACTCGAGGATGCTTGTATGCTGCTCGTTTAACCTGCGTGATAAAAGGACATGATGAAATCTGTAACATCCTTAACCCTACACCCTGAACCCCTACACCCCTGAACCATGGCTTATCACACCGCCCTTCTGCCTTGCAAAGCCGCAAGTGGCAATCAGGCGTTCTGCCAAGATGCCGCGAGTCGGAAGTAGGATATGGCGGCAAAGCCTCCATCGGCTGGGGCAAATCACTCCCTGAACCCGGTTTTGCAGTGGGCTCCTCGTGGCCCTCGCGGCTCCCTCTCCCCGGAACCCTAAAACTTCAACCCGTGAGTCGAATTAACTCAGAAGGAAGGTGCGCGCTTGCAGACTCTTGAAGGCTTTTGCTGGGAATCCAGTCCGTGTGCTCACTGTGTTCAGGCTTCTCATTTAGCTTTACATGTTTCTTGCTGCTTCCACATCAAACCCAAACGTCGCTTTCTTGGAATCCCGCCGATATTCCACACTTAGGAGACCCCAAAACCCTAAACCCCAAACCCTAAGCCCCTTCTCAAGACAGACGCCATCATCCTGGGCCCCCCGGCGCCCGCTGCTGAAATCAGTCTTTCGCGCGCGTGGAATGTGCAGTATCGCTTCCATAGAAATCCTCGGCCACCAGGTCAGAGCCGGGGTCGACGCGTATAAGCCTTATATTCTGTATACTACGACATACAATATAATACGATATACTATATAATGCGATATACTTTTTAATACGATAATGTGGTATGATTAGAACATACTATAACCTTATAACAACAAAAGAGTCCTTTGAGGCTTTCAGAGTTTCGACTCCCGGCAGGGTGTCAGCCTAGAAATTGATCCGAGGATATGAATGGTCTGCATCCCAAGAGTTGCTCTCCGCGCCCGCACTCAGATTTTAGAGGGACATACCCGCACAGTCTCTTCCTCTCTCTGTCTCTCTCTGCGAAATAGCCGGTGTCATGACATGGAATGCCCAAAGAAGCAAATGGAACATGCTCTCATCTTCTCGGGCAATTTATCAAACTCCCCACACCCCGAGTGCATCGGTAACTCATCCCATCAAAGATGAGCTCCTGGGGATCAGAGTCTAAGAATGCCAACTAAGACATGCACGCTAACTTCCCGGCAACGGAACAAGGTTTGCGGGCTTGCGTTGCGTTAAAGGCTTTAGGTTTTGCAGCTTAGGGCTGCTGAACGTCAGGATCCAGCTTCTGTACATGGGTAGTTCTCTGAATTCGGGGCCCTTCTAGGTCTCCAACTAATACGGCACCGGTATGAAAAGGACCCCAAAAGGGACCCTAATTTGGAGAACTACCCAAATGCTGCCCTTATAGAAACCCTACAGAAACCCTTATAGATCCCTTTAAAGGAGCCCTAAAAGGCAAGCAGCCAAATGGTGCGGAATTCTCTGCAAAGGTACATGCACCACAGCCTCAGCATCCGACCCCCGGGTTCACTGAGCCCAAACTGTTCCTGCTAGGCCCCAAACAAAATGTCGGCCGGAATTTAGAGAATCTATTTTTGTTGGGCCCGTTTTTTGAGAGGGGCTTTTTTTTTGGTCCGCGGGGGAAGGAAGGAAGGCAGGAAGCAAGGAAGGAAGAAAGGAACGGAACGGAGGTGGAAGGAAGGAAGAAAGGAAGGAAGGAAGAAAGGAACTAAGGAGGGAGGAAAGAAGGAAGGACGGACGGAAGGAATGCACATATACATATACATACACAACAGCATATACTATATTAGATGTTTATGAGAAGTAGCATCTCAACTGTTATTTACGAAAGGACCTATGTACGTACAAATTAGGTTTACACTTGTACAGGCTCTATATGCCTTGGCTATAAGTAAACATATATATATATATGTAAAGACAGTGTGTATATATATATATATGTAGAGTACGAATAGCACAAATATTATGCATAGTTCGGAATGATATAAGTATATATATATATATAGTTATAGTTAGTTGTTAAGTATCCACTTATATAAATAACGTACAAGTTTGTGTATATATATATAGAGAGAGAGACAGACAGACAGACAGACAGACAGACAGACAGACAGACAGACAGACAGAGAGTTTATACTTTTCAACATGACTATAGATAGAGAGAGAGAGAGCATGTGTGTGTTGTTTACCATAAAATACATATTGCGGCAGACGCGACTGCCTACATAGTAAACAACATGTAACATATATATATATAATAGTATTATTTCTATATGTTCTTCACCTACTATACATACTGTTACAAATCGAACATGACACACACACACACAGAGACTCTATATGTATATATATATAGCATATGTGCATGTTGCAAAAACCTACATGGTACACATAGGACGTATACACTGAAGCATCTCCTTAACAGGGTCGGAAGGGTTTCGCAAAGCGCGGCTTCCGAGGGACTCCTGCAAAGGGTTTCCCTTGTGCTAAATCTCCTGCCCCTGCACGGAATCCCGCAAGACACTGTCTTCGGAAACCCCACGACACCGACCCCCGTCGCTGTCCAAAAAACAGCAAGAAAAGGCCCAACAAAAATCAGAATCTCCATCCGGAATTAGGGTTCGGGTCGCGCGGTTGATGCATGCATCTATTTTCCGGACTGTCCTGAAACAACCAACTATGTACAACACGGTGCTTGTTTTTCCTGAAGAGCCTTCGGGTTAAGTGCACCCCTATGCCACCCTCTGACTGTACTTTTCCTGCTGCTGCGCTTGCAACTATTGGCTTTTATTGTGGCTGTTGTTGTTGCTGCTACTGATACTGCTGTTTCCGTGGCTGTTGTCGCTGATGCTGCGCTGATCCTGAATGTAAAGCAACCGAAAATCACTTTCATCACCACCATCCCTACAATTGCCATCTTCAGCTTTCTTTATCAACTCCAGCACCGCCGCCGCCAGCTCCTCCACCAACACCAGCCGTAAAGGCAGCAGCAGCAGCAACACCACTACCACCACCAGCACTGTCACGAGACCATAACCTATTGTTCGTGCTGCTGTCGGTGCTGTCGATCGTGCACCGGGCTGAAGTTGTCAATCACTGACATCATCGCTAGCATACGCATCAGAGTTTACCAGTGGACCGAACCGCATCATCAACATCAAGAAACATCGGCATCACATCGCTCACAGTCTACGGGTTCATCGGCACCACTGCCAATGCTGTCACTGGCATCTACCGTCCTAATGCACATCACCACCATGAAGAATATCATATTCAGCTTGTTGGTTGTCATCGTCATGGTTCTCAACATCGTCACATTCATGACTCATGACCACCACCATTCTCGGCACCATGCTGTTCTTCGAAGGCGTCTACGCCGCTGCAAGATTGCCATGTGTGACCATTGTCACCACCGGCATCATCACACTAAGATGCATCTTCCAAGGTTGTCCTTTGCTTTGAGCACCCGAAACCCATCACGCTCTTCAAGACTCGACAACAAAACAACCTTAAGATTCAACGCAAGACTCCTCACCCATCTCACGACATCTTCAGCACTCGGCAAAGTGTCCCCCAAGCAGTGAGCCTGAAACTGCCGGAACCATAAACCCATGACTTGCAACTGCCAGGCCACAACGAGTCCCACCCAAGCTAACCTCACAAAACCCCAGCACCTTCTTATATTGCTCTGAATTCGTGCCCTAAACCAACATCGAAAGTCTAAAGGCCCAGCCGCAACATGCAAAGCCCGCTGAGGATCATCCCTGGTGCCAAGCCGGACACGGCAAAGTCCTCGGATTGCAAGCCTTGGCCCGGGTTTTCAAGCATTGAGGGCTTGTGGCTGAGATCTCAGCTTTCATTAAGGGACAATAGGAGGGACCCCTAGAAGGGACCCCTAATCCTAATGCCCTATATAACCCCAAGGGTCCCTTTAAGGTACTACAGTAGGGCGTTCGGGATTCAAGCCTGTACCAGGCTGTCGGGGCCGGGTCACGTAGGTTTCGGGCTTTTGGGAACGCGCGGCGGCTTCGGGGTTGCAGGGTTTCGCCGCTCACACTCGAACACTCCAAGAAGGGGATGTGCCAAGCTCTTTTCTCAGACGTGACACGACCAGCTCCAAACCAAAGCCTCAACATATCGACAAATGGATCAGATCACTGTGTCACAGAGCTTGAGGCAGCATGACCCCTGCGCTCATAAGTTGGGATTTAAGGTTTAACGCGTTATGACTTTATGTTTGTTTTCGGGATTTCCTCCAATTGGGCTTGTTACTTCAGGTATTTCATGATTTTCTGGCGTAGCGTCTGAGGGTTGCAGGGTTTCAGAATGCATGAATTGGACCTACTTACGGGATCGTTTGAAAGAGCCAGTAGCACCACAAGTAACTTGCTCATCTTCTTTACGGCGACCTCTGGCATTTGTCTAGAATGCGTGCTGCTGCTGCTACCGTAATTTCTATCTCAACACACACACAGAGATAGATAGATCTATATATATATATATAGATATACACATATTTATTTATGTATGTATATACCTATATATACCTACCTACCTACGTACCTGCCTACGTACCTACCTACGTACCTACCTGCCTACCTCCCCACCTCCCTCCTTATCTACCTGCATACATACACACATACATATGTATAGATACATGTAATGTATATCATATTTAATTACATATAAATACATATAGATATGGTTGAATATATATCTTTGAGCTTCCATAATCAAACATAGTCAAACAGTAGCCCGGCTTTCCGGTATGCTTGTTCCTCAAAGACATCTTTCTGCAAAACACATCGTCCTTGCTGCTACTGGACACAAGCCTATTATCCTAAACTCGAAGCCGTTGAAGGTGCATGCAGCTGGCCACCCTAAACCCTAAACCCATAGAAACCCCTAAACCCAAAAACCCGTTGAAGGTGCATGCAGCTGGCCAAGAAATGAGTTGATGTCGGCAAGGAGGTTGGCCTGCTCCTTGGCTCCCGAAAAGCTCTCTCTCTCTCTCTCTTTCCTGGGGCTGCTGTTTTTGTATTTAGGGTTCTAGGGTTTAGGGTTTAGGGTTCGGGGTTTAGGGTTCTAGGTTTTTTTTGCCTCCCACCTTGCTAGGGTGTAGGGTTTAAGGTTTAGGGTTCGGGGCCTCGGGGTTTAGCGTTTAGGGTTTGGGGTTTCTCTCTTATTAAACAACACAGCTGGAGGGGTATGGCAGCGAAGGCTTCTGGAAGTTCAGGCTTTCACGCGAAGTTCAGGCTTTCACGAGTCATGAAATCATGAACCTGGGAAATTTTCGGTCTGGGTTGATAGATTCAAGCGTTTTGTTTTGGAGGGGGGGGGTTGTTCGCAAGCAGTCTACCCAAAAGCTGCCTGCATAATGCAGGGGCCCTAAACCTCGAAAACATTAAGCCTTGGAACTTTACGTACTTACCTCTGAGCTCAACAGTCAATAGCCTAGAGCCTAAACTGCCGTGGCCAAAACCCAGTGACTCAAACGTTGGCAAAACTTTCAAGCCCTGCATTGGAGCTCAAATGCTGGACTCACATGAGCATCTGGATCCCCTGTTCGTGTCATCAGTAGCACATCCAAGGATAGATGGGATCCTTGTGTCTGTGTGCTTCGTCGGGACCGAAACGACAGCCTTTCCTGAGCACCCCGGATCGAGGCCTGCGTTCCCGAGCCACGAACGTGAGCCCCCACAGCTTGTTGAGTCACGGTCTGAGCCGGGCAGCTTTCCCCAGCACCCTGAACCCTTCGACCTGCAAACCCTAAACCCTAAACCCTTCAACCTGTGAATCCCCAGGCAAAGAAGAGAAAAATCTTTAAGTCAGAGACCCCGATCCGGGAAGGTAGGGTCCAATACCGAAGATCCCCAGCTTCATCAAGGCTTCTATTAACCCTAAACCCCTAAAAACCCTAAACCCCTATTAACCCTAAACCCCTAAAAACCCTA